TGTTTTCACTTAGCATGTTACCTAATATGACATAAGATACTATTTAAATCCTCTCTTATTACATTTCTTTTGTTTTTCTATACAAAAAAAAAAAAAAAAGTTATAATTAAATCTTCGATATTTAAAAACATGAAATCAATCTATTGAAATTTTTCCGATAGATGAAAAAAAAAAAAACTTTTCTAAAGAATATCTTTCATAATAGTAAACTATTTTTTATTATTATGAAAATTATAAACGATAGTTATGATAAACGAAATAAATTAATAATGTGAATAATAGATATCATATTATGTGATATTTTCTTATCTCAATATATCATATGACATAGGAAAATCATTATTTTCTCTTTTGACAGATCAGATGATAAATGATCAACATACGAGAAACGATAAAATAGTACTCGATTATACAAGAATATAGTATATATCTTTGATTCATATAATTATGATTAACTTTCTTTCTTTTGTAAATTTCAGACAACACACGAAATTTATACATTAACATAGAAAATATTCTTTTTGTCTTTAAATTTTATTATTCATGTTCATGTAATTAAAACAAAAAAAACAATGTTTTGAAAATTCTCTAAATTAACAATTATATTTGTTACTAGAAATGTACAATTAATGATATGAAAGTAAATGAATCATGAACGATAGAATTTATATTGATATAGTATATGATATGAAAAAAGAAATTATTGATAGTATCTAACTCAATATACATATATATATATATATATTTTTTTTCTTTGGAAAAAAAAGTAATTAATATATGCGACTCATAGCAGTGATAAATCGACCAATGCGCCTATTTTGTTATCTAATATTGACACACGTCTATCACATTTTGATGTTAGATTAACATAATTGTGGAGTCAATAGAGTTCTTGAATTGAATGTATATATATATACGGTTAAGTTCCTTTCTTTTTTGTTTTCTTTTTGAAAAATTAGCTTATCGATTAAAAACATCTTTAGATCAATGAATTCGATAATAAAGATAGATAAAAAGTCAGGAAATAAATTCAAACGAAATCATATGCCATTTGGGAATTTAAAAAAAAAAAGAAGAAATATCAATTGAGAGATGACAACTTTCCCCTCTAAGGAAGAATATTCACTTCTCTATTTCCTTTTGTAGAATGTCTCTTTATTATTATTATTTTTTTTTTGTTTTGTATCAAAAAGACAAAAGTAATAGTCATAAAGAATAAGACGAAGTATAGAAAACATATAATGTATTCGTTAGAATGGTAAAGAAATCATTTCTATATATATATATATTTATCCATAGTATATGTATAATCATTAGACATTATATTATCTTTCTATTATAAATATAAATCAAGACAAATAATAGAAAACTTTTATTTAAAAACAAAAACTTAATTTACTTGAAAATTTTATTTAAAATAATTTAAGGTAATTAGTTTTAGGTTTTTTTTTTAGCAAAAAAAATAGAAGTTTTTCTTTTAGTATTCGATTCAATAATTCTATACAAAACATGTATCATCTATATTAGTCTTGTCTTGATTTTAATAGAAATGTCAGTCAAATCCAAACATATTTTTATTCCATCCATCATTTATAAATGTTGAGATCGGAAAGAAATTTTCTGTTTATTATCATTAAAAACAAAAAGAAAAAAAAATGACAAATAAAAGAAGACGTAAATTATCATTAGAAACTTTCATTTTTCTTTTTTTTCTTCTTTACTTAGTTTACAAAAATCTTTCTAGATTTCTATTCTCTATTTATTTGAACGGTAAGCAAAAGAATGAAAAACCGAATTATCAATAAGTTTTGTTATTTTTCTTCATAATGAAAATAAAAAGAAATAATCTCCTATAGATTAAATAATAGAAATATCTAATTGATTTTACCTATAGAGATAAATACATCCTTAATTTATTCTATAAAAATAAATAAAAATCTAATAAATAATTTAAATATCAAAATATAATTTTTATATCTATTATTTAGATATGTAAAAATTATTCAAAAGAAAATTTCATCATGAGTCGATATCCATGTTTATCAAATCAAAATGGATCAATTAATTCTGATACATTACATGATATTGAAGTAGCTGGTTATCGTTATGTTATATTGACAATATGTATATTTGGTATTGTATGTAATATACTTAATTTATGTGTTCTACTTCAACGTCGTCTTAAAGAATCTCCTTATACATATTTAACTGGTTTAGCTGTAGCAGATATGTTTACATTAATATCAATATCACCATTTTCAATTGTTCGTGGTGATTATATACGTCATGAAAATATTTTTTTTACATTAGTACGTTTTGAAACACAATTTTATATGCCATTAGCAAATTATTTTGGTCAAGTAAGCATAATGATAACATTAGCATTAACAATTGAACGTTATTTATTTACAACATATCCATTACGTACACGAAGTTTTTGTAAACCACGTTATGCACGTATTATAATAACAATAATATTATTTATATGTGCATTACTTAGTTTTCCAAGATTTTTAATTGAAAATATTAAAAAATCAATTGGATCAATTGATATATTTAATTCATCACAATGTTCAACACAACCATTTTTAATAAAATATTCATTAACAAATTTAACACATATTGGTCAATGTTTTTGTATTATTGGTTATACACGAGAATATTTTTTACCATATAGAAATGCATATTATATAACAATGTTTATATTAAATCAAATATTACCAGTTATAATATTACTTTTTTTAAATTTAAAATTAATAAAACGTGTTCAAAATTCAAATCGTTATACATTAGATGAACTTGTTGCACGACAACATATACATTTAACAACATCATCATCAACATATATAATAAATCCAATAAAACAAAAACGTTTACGTGATGAACATCGTTTAACTAAAACACTTGTTGCTATTGTTGTTGTTTTTCTTATATGTAATACATTTACAATAATATCATATCCAAATTTTATACGACAAATAACAATTAATAAATATCCAAATTATATTTATTCTGGTTTTCGTATACAAAAATTAATAACAAATATAATGTTATTATTAAATTATTCAATAAATTTTTTTTTCTATTGTGCATTTAATCAAAAATTTTTAGATACACTTAAAACAACATTTCATTATAAAATATGTTCATATATACAAGATAAATTTCAACATCAAAATAATAGTATAACAACACAACGTACATTATTTAATAGTACAACATCATCAATAAATTCATCATATTATTTACAATCAAAAATACATAATTCATGTAAAAATTATTCAACATATGATGAAGAATTTCTACGTTTAAAACAACCAAAACAATATTCTTTACGAAAATAAAATAAATATTAATTTTGAACATTTCATTTTTTTTTATTATTATTTCAACTATCATTCATTTTTCTCGAACATAAATATAAACATATATTTATAAGCACATAGTGCATTATGTAAAATATATTAAATTATTCTAATAAAATAATCAATCGATTGAAAAAAAATTAAAAAAAAAAAGAAATCAAACAAATTATTTGTTATAATGAAGAATAAAATCTAAGATAAGTATAATAGATTTATATGGATAAAATCATATGTGAGCAACATGATTAAAAAGTAGGTACGTCCTATTTTGTCTCAAATGGCCCATATATAGATCTTGAGAAGACGAGAGACAAAGACTACTTGTTTTTTTTTTTTTGTTGATCTCACGAGGGAAGTCATAAAATTGATAAATCACTTTTGAGTCGAGACAATGTACATTATGTAGATTTAAATGAGCTCTGAGTACTCTGGAAAACAAAAGTTCTTGCGCTTAGCTTATGATTTCGAAGATATTACACCTAGAAAGCATTTACATAGAGACGGATCTTAACCAGAATGTTTAATATTATTGAACCTAATTCTAAATAAAATTAGTTAAAAATGAATAACTGTAATTTATATTTTATTGAAATAGAAAATTAAGATGAACTATCGAGAAACAAGATTTTCTTTTGTAAACATCTATAACAATTTTTACTAAATCTATTTTCTTTATAAATAAATATATAGTATTTTTATCATGGAAATTTTCACAATGAATTTTATTAGATAATTCTTTCGAAAGGATATTAGAGTGTTTACATCGATTTCATCTGAATTGTTTCAAACTTTCAATAAGGATCTCGATGAAAACTATAACAAATTTACATGAGTATGTCTAAAAACAAAAGCATTTCAGCATTAGTTTTGTACGTTAATCTTGATTGATTTTTTTTTCTGGATGAAAAATTCCAAATATAAGATTTTCCTCGCTCATGAGAAATCTTAGTTTTCTCAATAGACAAGTACAAAAAAAAATCTAGACTTTCGAAATTTAAATGAAATATTTCATCTTTTTGATGAGTATTTGTTCTGAAAGTTAAAATAAGAAAAATCCTAAAAATATTATTTTGAATAGAAATGCTCTTAGAAAATTATGAAGTCATCATTTTAAAAATTTCCTATGACTTTTTACTTTCAGAATATTAAATTTCACTACTTCTAAAAATATAAAAAATAGTGTCATATAAGATCTTTATAAATTTTCTTACGCTTTTAAAAACATCATCCTATTTAAATCTTGAATTATTTGATATTTTCAATGACTGCTAGCGTGTTTCACAAAGATCAATATTTATTTTAAGTGTATTTAAAATACTTTGGTTATAAAAATATTCATTTTTTTTTTTTTATATATTATTTATAAAATAAAAAGACGGAGAAAAATATTTCGCAGATGTTTAATTGACAAAAGAATAGAAAAAGAAAATGGCGTGAGAGTTATATTTGTAAAGGAGAATAGTCATAGCAACCAGTAACGTAATGAGAGAATATATATATATATATGCGCTATTTATATTTTGTTTTTATTGTTTATGGTAATAAAAATTTTTCTTTCTTTCATTATTGTAGTTAAGTCAATCTCGAATTGCACAAGTTAAATCAAAAAAAAGAAAGAAAATCAACATCCAAAACATGTATTCAAATCAACAACCACCTATTTATACAACTCGACATTATATTCATGATCCTCAATCAAATTCAAGAAATAATTATAATCCATCATATGATTCAGTACGTCCACCAGTTCAACCTTATCCTTATTATACAAATAATCAACAACCAACAACTGTAACCTATATTAATGATCGATCTAATTATGGACAACAATCAACATCATATATTCCACCAAATACAAATCGTTATCCATCACCAAATAATTATAATCAAAATAATACTATTCGTCCAGCTGCAAGTGGTGGTTCAATTGAAAAAACTAATACTATGTCAAATGAAAATCCATTTTATAATCCATCTCGTACATATGAACAAAATAATACACCACGTACAATAACATCTATAACATCTCCACCAAAAAGTGGTGGTGGATTAAATAATACATTAAATCTTTCTGATGAAAATCCATTTCATACGATTTATGGTGGATATCATTATCCATCACAAATTGATCCATCAAAAAGAATTACAACTCAAAATCCAGCTGCACGTTCAACAGAAAATAAATCATTAAATTTATCTGATGAAAATCCATTTTATTCAACATATGGACGTTATTATTATCCATCACAAATTGATCCACAAAAACGTATTACTGAAATGCCAAAATCAAGTGGACCATTAGTACCAACAAATGAAATGTCTAATGATAATCCATTTAGTAATTATCGACCACCATCATATCAAAATTATTCAAATAATAGTACTTCATCGAATGTTGATTGGAATAGAAATAATAATCCAGCACCACTTTCATATCGACCTATTGAAGTACAAAGACCATTACAAAATTCTTATAATCAACAACAATCATCATCTATTCGACCACCAAGTCCACCTTCACCACCACCACCACCGGTTTCAACACGTATAACAACTCAAAAACCAAATTCTTCTGCACCTTTAGATAAAACATCATTAAATATGAGTCCTGATAATCCATTTGCACAAACTTATGGTCAATATCATTATCCATCATCAGAAGAAATTAAAATTCAAAAACGTAATAATCGTTTTGCAGAACAACAACCTGTTCGTACAAATACAAATACAAATAACAACAATCGACCAGTACAACCAACAAATCAAATGACTGAATATCCTGAAACAGAAAAAAAAGAAATTCTTTCAGGAAAAGGAAATACAAAATTTTCTCGTTTTGATGTTAATTTTTGACATTATAATTCATATACTTTTTTTTTTCTTTGTAAATCAAAAAAAAACAATTCGCAAAACTAATTGATATCTAACAGGTATTTTTACGAATCATAGTGTACACTTTTCTAACTTTTACTTTATATAAGAAAGTATATAGTAGAATTTCTTTCCTAAACATTTACCATTTATTTAGTATCTTTCTACTTCTAAAAATCGGATTTATTTTGTTAAGTATACATTTGTTTATTAGTCGATGGCACTGAAATGAAACACATTGTTGGTGCGAAGCGTCATACATCAATGCTTTTTTCCATTACATTAATATATATTTATGTTCTTGAAACAAATTCTTTTAGTAAAAAAATGTCGGATTTCTATCGGTTTTCATTCCTAGGCTTTTATATATATATATATACATTGAAAAAGTAAAGAATATTTTAACGGAAAAGAATGTTTTTTTATTTGTCTTTGTTGAAAATATTATATTTTTAAGTCAATTCGAATTTTGTCACAATAGAACATTTTCTATGTGTCATACGAACTATATATGGACAAAAATTTCCATCAAAATTTAGCCAAATGATTATAACTGAAGTTGACAGGCTCACTAAAACAACCTTGTTGATTCAAAAAGTAGATATCAATTTAAGTGATTTTCTTATAAGTTGTTAACTGAAGGTAGTTTAATACTTAAATAGTTGTCTATCAAATGTGTTACATAGGTCTGATCTTCTCTTTATTCTCAAAATCATTGAGCAATTTCTATTATTTTTATATTCTTATAGAAAAGTTTACAAATAATAGTTTTTAATCAACTAATGTTAATAAACAGTAAATTATTTCCATGAAAATAGCCAAAACTTTCAAATATTTAATAACAAGACTAATGTCCATTTCAGAGTTAAATGGTCATGGGCATTTTTGATAGGAATGAGATAGAGATCTGTGGTTTTCACTGTTAGAAAGAGCAGATGAATATGCATCGAATTATATATAGAAACATTTTTCTAACACCATTCCTAAAGGTTTAGTCAAACGTTTTCATAGAATTGCTTTTTAAATAGTGGCTTTTCTATCAAAATACTACAAAAATTTACATTTTTCGATTATTTGGTGGAAAAAAATGAGATGGTAAATTGTGTTCCGATGGTTTGGATATCATACTGGTAGTAGTTAGAAACAGAGTCATGATATAGTTTTATAGCTTTTTCTTTGACGATTCTAGAGCACTCCTGAAAATCAATAAATTAATATCGTGACCATGAGAAGCATGCTGTTTTTCTTGAAGTTTTATGTAAAACCTATAGGAAAGTAGCTAGAAAAAGTTTTCTATATATAATTCGATGCGTCTTCATCTGCTCTTACCAACAGTTAAAACCGCAGATCTCTATCTCAATCCTATCAAAAATGCCCACGGCCATTTAACTCTAAAATGGACATTAGTACGTACTTCAATACTTTTAGATATATTTTTTAAACCAGCTATGTTAGCTATGTAAATTTTCATTTATAATCAAAAATAGACAATATTTAATGAATAGTATTTATTCAAAGGAAAAAAAAAGCAATTTATATGTTTCAAAATAAGATTAGGAATTTATTTATTAAGTTTACTTTTATTAAAGTATAATTTCAATTTATCTTTTGTTTTGCTTTTATTTTTTTTTTATAAGAAAGAAAATTAAAGAAACTTTCTATCCAGTTAAATGCTGTACGATCAGAAAAATTCAACGATAAGATTCTTGCTTTCAATTCCTCTATCATTTTTCTGAGGCCTTCGACTATAAGTCAAAAATCATAATGCATATCTAATTGTTATCATTTTCACATTCCGAAAAGTTTACTTTTTTGAAAATCTTTCCATTTATATTAAAATATTAGAAAGAAATATAATAAACATAATAATAACGAAATTAAAAAAAGAAGCATATTACAACCAACGTTTGAATTTAAAACATGTAAGCATTGAAATTGCCAATGTACCCATCAGAGCTAGTACAATAAAATAAGCATATTTATATCTAAGTTCAGGCATATTATCAAAATTCTAAAGCAAAAAGAAATAAATTTAATGAAAAAAAAAAAAAAAACTTTATTTACCATGCCATAAACTGAACTAATAAATGTTAATGGAATAAAAATAGTTGTTATAATTGTTAATGTTTTAACAATTTGATTCATACCATTTGAATTTAACATCATATAAAAATCAATAAATGATGATAACATTTCTCTATATGTATCAATTGAATCATTAACTTGTACAACATGATCAAATAAATCTTTTAAATAAATATTTGTACTTGCTTGCATAATTTCTGTTTCTTCTTCTTTTTGTAATTTAATAATTATTTCTTTTAATGGAGATATAATTGAACGTAAATATAACATATCACGTTTCATATCATATATAGATTCTAATGTATCACGTTTAACTGTTTTCATTAATTGATTATCAATTGATTCAACTGTTGTACCCATTGTATCAAGAACATCCATATAATGATCAACAATAACATCAGCAAGTGAATAAAAAAGATAATCAATTTTAGATTTTCTTATACGACCTTTTCCTTGTCGAATACGATCTTTAAATATTAAAAAAAAAAACGAAATAGAATATTAATTAGTATATTTTACTTCATAAAAAAAAGTAAATATTTTATCTCAATCAAATTTTGAATAAACGGAAGAATATTTTATTGACTATATTTGTTTCGTTAGTACGAAACTTATGAGTAAAACTTAGCAAAAAATTTTGTGAGATCAAATCTATTTTCTCACTTAAGGATACCCTCCCCTCTCTTTTTTGACCAAAAACTGGATTTCGAGCTGAGCCTGAAGTGCCATATACAACTAGAGACATTATTCAACTCTAAATACCTTACTTTTACAGAGTTATTGGACTGAGAAAATTTTTTTTTTCATAGCTATTCGAAGTTACCGGGTCCTGAAAGTCAAGACCTACAGTCAAAATTCGAGTGCTGGCGTATTTCTCTTATAAAAATAAAAGAAAGTGAGATTTTTGAAAAAGCTTAAATTTACCTCTAAGGAATAGTCTTAGGTATCTAAACACAAAATTTCAGCGCAATCGGACAAACTTTAAGGTGGGTCGTAATGTGTCAGGATGCGGGCCTCTGGAAAATCAGTGTTTTCCAGAAAACTCCACAAAAACTTACTTCAATTTTTTTTTCCTCGAACACATATCTCTTTATTTTTAGTCCTCTATTTGTGCTAGAAGTTCCAGCTTGATTAGTTGTACCGATGGGAAAATTACAAAAATTTGCTGGGTAAAAAACGTATACCTGTACCCTCCTACAGGGGTCTTCAGTCCTGAGGAGGGCCCGAACCTCATGGGTCCTCCCCGCCTTCTGTACGTGCCTGTCATAGATTTATTTTCTAATTAAAATATTTTACTTTTTATTGAATCAAATAAATCTTTTGGTGTTTCTTGAAATGTTACAAGAAGATCAGTTTTTAAATAGAAACTCATTTGTTGAATAATTATTTGACCCGTATGTTCCATATCACGATATATTAATTTACATACAAGAAATAATGCATCATCTAATACATCTAATTTTGTTCGTTGTTCAGATGTTGTCATATCTGTTTGAACTAATGAATGAATATCATAACGTTTACCTATTGCAGATATAACATCCGAATCATGAATACCATCAATATCAATCCCTAGAGATAAAACATTATATATTTATTATTTTTGTTTTGTTGTTTCAATTATATCAATTTAAAATACATACATGTCATTGATGTTATTGGTACAAATGGTGTAGTTAGAAATTCTTCAATAGTTTTATATTTTGTTTCTGTATATGAATTTTCATCATATGTAAAAATATTTAATTGAACTGGTGATCTAAAAATTCAAATAATCGACAATATTGAAAAACTATTTATGTTAAAGAAAAAGAATACTGTCTATTTTTCGTATGATAAGAATGATATTTAAAAAGAAAAATTTAATTAATTTAAATGTATTTTTCTATAAGAATTATTAACAGTAATTTAGAAAAGAAGACTAGTTGAATTTAATAATTGTTTTATGTATGTAATATTATAGGAGTAATTTCTATTTTAAATAATCTTCTAACTAAAAACTTACGTTGGATCAGAAACACGTAGAAATTTTTGAGATAAACAAGCACCATATCCAAATTGTGTTAAACGTCCACGAATTGTTGTTCTTCTACCAGTTGCTATATAATTTTCTGTTTCAATACGTGGATTAATACGTTTAAATGGCATAATTTTTTTTCTACGTTCTGTAGAATTTTTTGTCATGATTATAATAAATTTGATATTGAAGAATTATTGTACCAAACAAATTTTTTATAAAAGATTAATTATGATTTACATTGAAATATTAAGTTTTTTTTTTTTTTTCTAAGCAAAATATAATCAACGTATTTAACAAAATATTATTGTTAATAAATAGCTTATGTCGATGATAATAACACTTTGTAAGAGTAACACTCGTTATTCATTTATACGATTAATACTATTTAAGTATAACAATACATAGGGCGAATATTTTTCTTTTTTGTTTTTTTTTTTCGTTTCTCGTCTTGTTTGTAAAACGAGCATAGGTAACAGATAAAGCAAACTGACATCATTTTTTTTTTTTTTCTTTCTTTTATTAATCGTATGCAATGAATGAATATATTGAAAGAAATAAAGAAACAAGAATGAATCATATAAAATAAGAAAAATAAATTTTGTTTTCATTTAATAATCTTTGAAAAATAATCTATAAGTTACGTAGATAGTAGATGTAAATTGTAATTAAGAAACAATGAAATAGAATAAGATATTTTTGAATGATTATTAAAAATAATTAACATAGAATTGTTTCATGAAGAATATTTAGGAACTTGAAAATAAAATTTTGAATATTTGATACTGGTTTACATCTTTTAATAGGTATCAATCTATGATATGTAAAGTTGTGAATGCAATACAAATTATGAGAGAAAAATTCTGCTTTTTCAATTGAT